AATTTGATAGCCACCAGCATTCAGCTGTTTAATTTGTTATGACCGGAATATCCGAAGCGGTCGTAAAAGGTTTTTTTCTTTTAAGAGAGGATGCCTGTTGTCACGGAAATGAGATTTTACGAATGAGCGGTTTTATATCGCTGTTCGCCTTTTATCACTAATAACCTGTTAAAAACTGATTTAACGTCAGTTACCGTTCGGAATGAAAAATAAATTGCATTTTTTAACAAACAATGTCTTAGTAAATATAATAACAGACTATTCTATTGGTACTTTATATAGGTATAATAATGTCATCATAAAGCAATCACGTAATAAGTATTACAGTTTAGTTACCTCTGAATTGCCTGACGATTCGACCAGGTTGGACTAACCGTGGTCACATGCTTAATTTCTGTAATTCTCATGGAACGCAAAAGTTGAAAAGTTTCTTTTTCTTTATTCTTATTGGTACAGTCTAAACACTAATGTTAATATAAGCCACGAGGAAATGTCAAGTACAAAGGGGAGCTTAACCCAAAACTGAGTTTTCTTCCAGCAAACCAAAAGTAAATAGAAGATAGCAGAGAAATGTATAATGTCCGTGTGGTGACGGAATAAGAATACGTAATGTCACCACCCCTATTCATCCCGTGGGTGTGGTAAGAGCCGACTAAGGCACTGCAAAGTGAAGGAAAACTTGAAACAAACCCTATACCAACCCGTCTGGCCCGGCGTGGTATAGTAGGCGAAAACCTCCTTTCTAAGGAGAGGCCTATGTCCAGCAGTGGACTGTTATAGGTTGTTGATGATGATGATGATGATGATGATGATGATGAGAGAAATGTAAGGGCACAGTGCGTAAAGTTATTATAAACTATTTTTTTATGTCTAAACCTGCTACGTATTTTGATCCTCAATTTATAAGTGTAACTATATCAATGATACAACAATACGTAAGGACGATTTTCCTACCCTACCATATTTTTTGTTTCTTTCTGTTGCCTGTTAAGGGTTACGAGTAAATAGCGAAAAAAATAGGGTGAATGTGGATCCAAAATAAAAGAAGAAATGGTGAAAGTGGAATCAGTCATTATACGAGTAGTCGTATCTATAGTAATGTTAGAAATTGTTTTTCGCCAGAAAATCCTCGATACACGCAAGAAGGTCCGACGCAAGATGTCTTCTTACAGACATGTGTCTACAACCTGTCGACGACCAGCATGATAGATGATTAACCTTTTCACTTTAATATTTCTCAATATCTAAACAATATTTATCTCAGCAGAACAACAATTTTCAAGTTTTATAATGGTACGTATGATTCTTCGGTCTTCACGTAGATCGGTGAACATATGATCTACTAGTTAGAAGTTGAAATGATAAGAAGACAAAGTAGCTGTGTCTGACGTAAGTAGTACGTTATTTTTACCGACTTCAAGAGGAGGTTTGACCCATGGGAACGGGTGCTTTAAAGCTTATTTTGTACCTTCGTCACCATGTTTGTCATTTAACACAAAGTAAAATTACCAGTCGTTAAAATTTGAGTGCGTATAATTAAAAATATTAAATCAAACTAAAAGGGTCTTACAATTAATATAAGGACTGAGGACAATGAACCAACTCGTCTCGCCATCATGGCAATGCTTTTTTCCAACACTGGTAGAGACCACAAGAGGTATACTCGTGTGGCGAAAAAAATGTTTTTTTTTAATTCCGTTTTTTTTTTTTATTTTAAATTCCGATCTAAAAGATTTTCTTTTAATGTTTGTTATATTAAATACTAGCTTTTTCATATTTCGTGATTCTAACTTAGTAAACGACAAACGATCATTCAACCTTTCATCCCTTATTTAACCCCCCCAGGAGTAAATTTTCCAAAAGTCCTTTCTTAGTGGTGCTTCAACATAAAAAGCATCAACTGTCAAAATTTCAAGTTTTGACCCCAGTGGCTCTTCTGTTATGAATCAGTCAGATAGGACAAGTAATTTTATATGTTTAGGGTAAAAACGTAAGTACCTATGTACAGGACTTCAAATCAGTAACCCAGTATCTTGCGTCTGCTGGAAACTTTGAATTATGAAATTAATTGTTCTATGTCACCCTCAGTACCTGCTTATTACATTTTATTGTCACGCTGTGTTTTAATGCATTCTGTATGCTTACGTATGCTGTTAGAGTCTCTGGTGATGAATGATACACCGGCAACATTTTTATAGCATGGCAACAATTAAAATAAAAACAAACAAATGTTGGTTTTCATTTATAAGATTTAGATTCGTGACCTTAATTTTTTACGTTAACAATTACAGCTTTAAATGAATATGATGTTAGAACTTGGGAGACAGATGTCAAGAACAAGTATCTACTCGAGTTATTCATTTTTTTTATTAATTTATTTATGCACAAATAACAATTAATTGTAGAATGGTGCACTTAGTGCCACAGGCATTTTCTTCCAGTCTGCTTTTGGGTAGTGGGGAAATGTCTAAGTAGGTGCACTAGAAATTAAGGTAATTGTTATAAAGAGATAATAATAATTAAGGAGATGAACAGAACCCAAGGACGGATCCAGGGGGTGGGTCATGGGGGTCATGACCCACCCCCTGGATCATATTTTTTTTGTCACAATATAGATTTCATGTAAATACCTTCAATATTTAATCAATTTATTATAAATTAATATTTTGTATGATGGCATACGCATTGTTCGTTCACGCATCGAAAATTTGAATTTTACCGCGCCACCGCCTCCTGTCATCTGATGTCACATTTCGTGTGACACTTAGTTATGTTTACTAAACATAACTAAGTGTCACACGAAACACACATTAAAAAATGTTTAGGGGTAAATATTTTTTAATGTGTTGAACTCATGAAAGATCTTTCTCTACGTTACGAAGAATTAAATCGTGGCTAAGAGCTTCAATGGTGTAAGAACGTCTAACCGGACTGGCACTTCTCCACGTCCATAAAAACGTACCCATTGAAGTAGATGAAGTGATAACGTGAGAAGACGTAAAAGAAAACTTGATTTTGTGATTTAAATATAGGTATTTTTAAGTACAGTAGGTGAGTAGGTACTTGTAGTCTGACAAAAAAAAAATAGAAATAAACGGGGGCGCCACTGTACAAGCTAAATACGCCAAATAGATAAATTTTCTTTTAGAAGGAATTATTACTTCTGACTGACGTCTTCGGTACCTGTACCATAGACAAGAAACCCGTTCTTAACCATAGATTAGTAGAGTAAGGGTTTCCAAAGTAATGAAATTGTAGTTGCCGTTTCTACCCGTTTTTGCCGGACTATACATACATTAATAAAATGCCTACGTTTTACTTGACCACGACTATGTGACCCCCCCCCCCCCCCCCCCCCCCCCCCCCCCCCCGGCACCAAAGCTGGATCCGCCCTTGACAGAAACAGTGGGACAGATATACATACATACACACTAAAATACATACATATATACACAAATATTGCAATACATAAAACTTTAAGGATGTGATGAATCCGTTAGGGTGTCTAAAATGCGAGCTCGGACTTCCGTCTTAAATGAGAGGCAACTGGGTATCATCCTGATTTCGAGAGGTAGAGCGCTCCAGAGGAGGACAGATTACATTAGGAACGAAGAGTTGAGGAAGTATGAATTGGACATTACAGAAGTAGATTGTTTGAGGAACTGTTGTGATTGGGACATAGAAATTAGAATGATGATTTCGGGTAGGAAGAGGCAATAGGTGAGTTGAGAATGGATCTATGGGTGGTGAGGGCGCGCAACTGACGGCGCTGACGAATCGTAAGCCAGTTCAAATCGCGACGAAAGGAGGAAAAGTGGTCGGATTTTGCAAGGGTTAAAGACGAATCGAATGCAGTTATTTAGAAGGCGGTCATATTTATTGAGGAGATCTCCAACATTACCATAATCCAAGACAGGGACAATAAGAAGCTGTACTAGCGCGGCTTGGAGACATAGAACTGTGCAACATATAGTGCGGAGAGAAGTTGATTTTGTTGAAGAAGACTCGCTTTACAATCTCTGTTTCACAAAGGATTGTGAAACAGAGACTTCGACAACTACTCGAAGATTCGCTTCACAATCTTTGTTTCACAAACCTTTGTTAAGCAGAGATTGTGAAGCGAGTCTTCGAGTCGTCGTCTGAGTCATCAATTTGAAAAGGGAATTTGGGTTCGTTAAAGTACCGTCTAGGAATATCATCATAAGGATATGATACTCCCTCTTAATCATCTTTGACTTGATAAGTATATCATATTCCCTGGTAATAACAAATAACATTTGACTTGAAAACTGCACTTTGAACAAAAAAGTCATCTAACTTTTGACATTCCCGGACGCTGCTTTGATGACCCAAATTCCCTTTTCATTAAAAATGCAATGAATATTTACAACAAAATTCAAGTCAATTTTAAAAGCTTTTGAAAAACTCATATTTGATCGTTAACTTGTCTATACTATGTACAAATAAATAAAATTGAAGTGTCGGTTTATAATGTCAAAATAATTGTTTTTTTTTTCATGCTCACACGGTGATTTGCGCTATACCTAAGCCTAAAAAACAGGTTTTCCTTTCTGTTCCGGGTAATCTTCAAAACGACTGGACAGATTTTGATAATATTTAACTACTAATAACTTTCATAAGGCCAAAATAACGGTTTAAACAAGATTATAGATTTTATTATCTCTCCTTCCGAAATTGATCCTTTTTTGACTAAAATGACTGGACTAAATTCTAATATCGTTCAATCCACCTTTTTAGTCTGTCGATTTGACAGTTGTATGTATAGTTCATCACTCTTTCATTCTCTTGTGTTTATGTCAAAAGTCTCGACGCGGTCTAAACTGGACATAATCTTATTAAAAATGTAATCTAAGATTGTCTAACATGAATTATCATGTAATACCAATATATAAAGTTATAATTAATCTTAGATAACTTTAATGTTGTAATTGCTTTTACTTACACCAAAGGACATTACAATCAATATAGTTTAAAACAACATGGAAGGCAAAAAGATCTCTTTTGGTTTTATGAAAACTAAGAAAGCTGACAAACCCATTTCTGATAATAATGACGATAAAAAGGATTATATAGAATGTGTTGAAGAACAGTCTATTAAAATTGTAGGGTAAGCAATCAAATGTCTATTTTTTCTAAGGTATTTAAGTTATCCTTGTTTTTAAATCATTAACAGTAAATTTTACTAACACTATTTTTGTAACGAGTCAGAAAACTAACTGACGATTTTTTTTAAGTCAAACTTTACTTATAGAACCTTTAAAACCTTTTACAACTCAACTTTGTTTTGATTCATCAGTGTTATGATAAACTTGTGTATTTTAGTGGAGAAAAATTGTCCAGTAATGAGCCTCTTGTCATACCTATGAAGCCCAATTCACTTATCACGCCTGGCAGGCTTAGACAAATAGCTTTGAAAGTAGGAGATGGTTTAGAAGAGCCAGCAATTAAAGTAGAACCAATGGATGATGATAAAATACCTGATCTCCTACAAGATGCTAAAAAAGAGATAAAAATTGAAAATCCTAAAATGGCAATACCAACTTCTACTAAAAGTGATTCTTTGGAAGAACCAGAAATTAAAACAGAACCAATGGAGGTTGATAACAGACCTGATCCACTAGCAGAAAATGAGACATTGGAGCAAATGGCAGTTCGAGAACTCATAGAAGATGCTAAAAAAGAAATAAAAGTGGAAAATCCTATAGTAGCAATACCAACTTCTAGTAAAGGTGTTGCTGATGGAGAAAAGGAGGTAACATTCCGCTTGCTGTATTCTGAATATTCAGTTCCTATTTCCTTCATTAAATGTGTTTTAGTTTTACTTCTTTTCCAAAAAATCAAACAAGATTCCAATTCTGAACTTATGATGCAAAAAATTAAATGTATTTTACATCAAATACTTACTATATAAGTAACTATAATAACGCTCAATAAATTTCACTGGAATCATCATGTTACATATATATGTACAAAATTGAGAAAATTCCTAGCACATATTACAATTCTTAACACACTTGTTAAAGGCACTTGCATAGTCTCATATCCAATATCGACTCAACAGCTATAGCCGAACTTACAAAACATACCCTGGTTCAGATTTATAACCTAAAAGTAAATGAAAAAGTAAAATTATTGTTTCTAATAATTGAAAATCTAAATTCCAAGAAAATCCTAATAGTATCAACATAAACAAGTTCATTATAATGTATTAAAAGATTTTGTGTTTACGCATCATTGAAATCACCAATTGAAGATATACATTCGTGCCATTTCTAAGACCCGGTTGCTTATAATACTTATGGTGAGGGAACCACCAACTACCTTGTACCTTGGTTTTTTAATAACTTCCCATATGAATTAGTTACTAGTGTAAACGATAAAAATATTAAAATAATTTAAAACCGTAACCTAATGTTACGGCCTACTGTGATTAAATTATTTTTTATTAATGTAATGTTTATAAATATAATGTTTGCAAAGTATACAACATTTGGTGTATGAAATAGTAGACACTAGTTTGTAACTACCATCATTCACTTACATTTTATAAATATATATGATTTAATAAAAGAAAAAGTATGGTTACCATATTACATAGTACAGGTTCTGCCTTGTTTAGGATGAGACAGCTGTGTGTCCAATGTGTGATGTTATTATTACTATTTATTGTTACTATATAAGATTCGCAATAACCATTTTGGTCTAATTTACAATAACTAGAGTTAAAATGTTATGTTGTATTATTACACCTGAATCATTATATGTAATATATGTAGGTACACCATTATCATTTTAATGTTGTTACTTTTTTAATATCCTTACATCAACATTAGAAGTAAATGAATTAAAATTGTTTGGACATTTGATAAAAAGACACTGATATAAAGTGACACTCAGGTATCCCATTGTTTAGTTGTTCTGATTCTCCTCAAGACATGCTCTTGTCTAGGCTACTTACTTATATATTCTTTATTTTTCCAGTCTACCTTAGATGACTATGATGCAGTACCAGTTCAAGAGTTTGGTCTAGCAATGTTAAGAGGTATGGGATGGACACCAGGCCAGGCAAGGTATGTTTAAATGTATTTCTATAAGTTTGGTATAATTTAGAATTAAAACACCCTCATTAACATTAATATTCTTTGTGGACATCATAATTATCACAACAACAGCAATAAAAAATACTTGATACAAATTGATAACTTCACCTCTGTGTATTTTGCAAGAAAATTATATTATACATTATCATCATCAGCCTATCGCAGTCCATTGCTGGACATAGGCCTCTCCCATTGCACGCCACTTAGATCGATTTTGGGCTTCTCGCATCCAGCTCATACATACATATAAGTATATATATTTTTGCACATTTGATTTTATTTTACAAAAACAAGCTTTTAACTAAACTTATCTAGAAATATTTCTAAGATTAATAACACTAAGACATATTGTAGTTTTTTTTATAAATACATATCTTATTTTAGTAACAAATTTTTTAGGTAAATTATTTATATCTTTTAGCAGGCTACCTTCGACTTGTATATACATACTTGCACACATAAAACATTTGACCAATTTTGTTCCTGTGTGTGTTGTACAATTATAGAGCAGTACATTGTCGAAAGTAAGAAAAAAGTTAGTAAAATGGAACATTAAAAATAAGAACCTTCTGTATGACAGAAATATATTTAAAAAAAAAACAGTCATTTGTTAAATGTAGTTCTGCCTTAGCATTACAAACATATATAAATATATCTATACATAATATTGTTATGCTTTTATTTTCAGTTCAAAATATAAGCTGCCAGAACTTCGTCCTAAAGGGCTTGGATTAGGGGCAGATAAAGTCATTAAAGCGAAACCAGAGGCATCAAAAGACAACAAACAGGAAGAAATGCTCATTCTGAAAAATTCCTATGTGAAAATCGTTTGTGGGAAATATAGTGACTACTATGGCAAGGTACCTACTCATTTAACACTACTACAGTTTTTGCAAAGAGAGAAACATATATTTATTAAATACACATTAAGTATGATGATACATCCTTTCTAAGGATCCAAACCTCCTTTCTAAGGAGAGGCCTATGTCCAGCAATGGACTAGTATAGGCTGTTGATGATGATGATGATGATACATACTTTACTACGAAAATACCTTTAATGATATTTGTAAGCTCAAAAGAAGATCGGAACTAAATTTTGAACGAAGTTTTATTAAAAAAAAATACTTTATTTTATAAAAAATCACAGCATACAACTTATATTAAAAGTAAAAATACGAAGAAAACATTTTTAATGAAGTAGTTTTTTTTTTTTTTAAAGATTACAACTATTTATTGACATTATGTACGTACAATAAAGGGCAATGTCATATATGACGGTATATGATATTACTAGAATTGACCTTCTGAGTGTTTCTCTTTAGTTATTTTATCTTACAGTGTTTGGATGTTAAATTCTTTAATACCCTTTGACATGACTATTGCGGCAGAATAGGCTATTGCCTCACATTTGCATTGGAATATGGAGCTTTGTTGGCATAACGCCAGTAGTAAGGCAAGCGCCATAATTTTATGTTTAGGTCTTGTCCCCGTTTGGAAGCGTCTGTATTAATTTGGACTTCACTTACGCCGGATTGATCTCGGTCATATTCATGTAGCTGCATGTGGTATTTCTTTATAATGCCGCCATCAGACTTCGTTACGTGTTATTCGTTGTTCGTCTTGTCTGGCCGCATACGTTGAAGTATGTAGGGCTCATTCGTCTATATTTGCTTTATTCGCACGCACAACGCATAAGCGGGAATAGCAAATACGCGTATCCGTCAACTTGTCGGTTTTTAACACACATCAAAGGACACGAATAAGCCAAATATTTGTGTCGACTGCCCACATTTCGTTCACTTATTGCAAAAGTAATGAGATTTTTGAAATTATATTAAATTCAACTTTGTGCTATCTAGTGGTATGTAGTATCTAGAACCGAAAACATGGTTGCCGTAAGGTAAAAATTAAAAGTAACGATACCTGGGTTGAAATAAAATATAATATGAAAGAACCAGTATGTAATTTTAAAGAACTAAAAAAGAAGAAAGAGTCTCTAATGTCACTGTATAGAGGATATAAAACTAAGGTCAAGAAATCACAAAAATCAGGTGCAGGTGCATCTCAAGTTTTTAACCCTACACGGTGCGCCTACGAGTCATTGATACGTCAAACGAGTCAAAAAAATAGTTTTGTTCATATTTCTTATTGCTTCGACAGCCTCGGTGGTGCAGTGCTAGCTTATGCGACTGCTGTACTGAGGTCTCGCGTCGGACCAAATGTTTTATTGATCTGCAAATATTTATTTCGGAGTCGTCATTTACAAAAAAAAAAAGGATTTAAGTGTTCTATCAGTCAAGATATGAAAGCTGTTTTGAAACTAGATGGCGTTGTGTTTAATATGTCCGAGAAAAATATATATTCCTTAATTAAATTGTAACTCGCAATTAATTAAAATTTATGTTAATGTAACTGGATGGGAATGTCTGTGGACTTGCAAGAAATGCAGGTTCCCCTTTCGTAGTACCTACCATTGTCAACATCAGGGCTGACGCCGGGCAGGAATGACTGGCTTGTTGGCCAAGTGGCAAGTAATCCTGACTGCTAAGCCAAAGGTTGTGGGTTCGATTCCCACCCAGTGATGAATACAATCTTTTGTTCTGTGTCTGGGTGTGATTTGTCTATAATATTTATATATTTAGAAATACATATAGTATGTTTGTCAGCCTTCTGGTTACCATAGTACAGGCTCTGCCCAGTTTGGGATCAGTCGTGTTTATGGTTATTATTATTAATGTATATGACGATAACTTGACCGTGACTAATTATACTAATGTATATTTACTAGACTTAAAGAAATTTAGTGACTATAACGGAAGGTATTAATATTTTAATATAATAAAACTTCTTTAATTTACTATTTTTTACTATGACACTAGCCGTAATCAATCACACAGTGAATACAAATTATCACAAATGCAGTGAGTACACTCAGAAATAAAGTTTGCGGTCATCATAGCCTCACGTACTTTTTTGCGAACCATACCAATATTATTTGTAACAGACATTTCCGACGGGTTTTTAATGGTGTAATATACGAGGGCGGGTCAATAAGTCCGTGACTTTTTGAATTTCTGACCTCTTTACTGAAAAAGCAACAGTACTCTGTCAACAGGCATCTGTCAGTTGACTCCTGTCAAAATTTAAACTTGCTGCGTCAGTTAGTTTGTATTTGACAGCTATCTTTATCAGACTACCCAGTAATTGATGATGATTAAAATAAATCAGTTATTTTATGACGAACGTCTGGAACAGGAATACGCCACATTCCTCATAACAAACTAAGTTCAGATAGAACATGACGCCCAAATAATACCTCTCTTCTCTAACAATAAATTTAATTTAATTCATGTAAAAGTTTTTTTTTTCAAACCTTAATGCGATCCATGAGAACCTGATATAACTTTACAGACTTCTTTATAATTTTTGAAATAACTTCGACTGGATATGTTGAAGGGATAATACAGACTCCTATAACTATCTCCAGAGGCCATTGGTTGATATTACACTAATTGATCCCATAATTATGCTGCTGGCCCACGCTGTTATACTACCCAGGTGTCCAAATCTTACGGTCGCCATGGTTGCCTCTTGCTGTATGAACAAGTTCAGCTGAGTTAGCCCGAGAGCCACAAAGGCGGCTGTTGGTGTTGTGCGCATACAGCCAGTGAGTGACCGCAGAGCATAGAAGTCGCTGGAATTGTTAGTTGCTAGTAGTTTATTTATGGCTGTGCTTAATTCTGTTTTCTGCCACCAGGCAATAACACCACACGTGATAATTGGTCGTATCTGTACTATCGTACTGGTCTTATCGTTCTGTACAGCCATAGTGTAAACTTTGGCAAAACTCCCCAGCTTTTACCGAGTTGCCGTTTGCGTTGGCAAAAGCTGTTGATCTTAGTTTTTCATGGTGTACAACTTCGCGGGCCGAGTACAAGTACAGTATCGTTTGGTAGTTTTACCCACCTTCCTTCCCATGTGTACTTTACATGAATTATGTCAAGTTCAGTTATGGAAGTGTTACAATTCTAAACCTTCTGAATTTGTTTTATTATAAGATTGTGTTCACCTCCGCTACACAATATGTGTTTGACTCTGTTGGCCTGATTGTTGTACTCTATTGTGGTGCAGAAGGTTCTCTACCGCTCAATATATGCATGTTATTAATAATTCAGGGTACTCTATATTAATGTTACTAATTAGTTATAAAAAGAAAATAGCTTTTCTAATCGAGTAAGTTAAATTCCATAGAAAGCGTTTTTAAAAATGCTCGAATAATAGCCTGTGTTGACTTCTATCACTAAATGTGGATAATTAAGAGGAAGACTTATATAAAAAAACCAAGATCCATATGGATTAGTAAAACCTAATGCCAAGTACTTTGTTTTTATTTCAGGTGGTCAGTTTGGATGAAGAAAATGGACGTGTTTTGGTGGACATTCCTTTGAAGAAAGAATCTGTCAGTCTCAGCGAGTTCATGATGGTTGCTGTAACGAAGACGGAATACGACAAGGAGTCGAAAGTTATAAGTAAGTGGTGATAACTGCAATACTAACAACGCTTTAAGCTAATGTAACTTTATGTAAATAGTAATATGATCATCCGTGGCTTGCAGTATTTCGATAACATGAGATGAGCTTCCTATCTCCGAAAATTGCCGAAAAATCTGAAAATACAATACAGATTTAATCAGGTAAATAAACGGTATCTACTAAGGCCGTTGAAAGTTTAACGATCAGACCCTTCTGTTTTCATTTTCGGATGGCTATAAGTGTGCTACAGACTCAAATACACATAAAGAAACACATAATCAGAGAAACACACAAAATAAACACGTATATTTACAGCAATATAATAAGTTGATTTAAGAAATTTCGCGGGTTAGTTCCATGTGAAATCGTATTTTTTTGGTTCTTTTCCATTTTATAGGAATACGTAATGGATCATTTGTGAGTGTTGATAAAAACAAGAAATAATGCAGTAGCATAAGAAAAAAAATCCTGTACTTACTATTGCAAAACGATTGCATCTGGCGGTGAGTAATAATTTTAAATAATTATTAAACAGATTAATTTTTAAAATTATTTTTTGTTACAGGAAATTAAGAGCAATTAATAGTATTTTTTTTTAAATGTTTTTTTAATGTTTTATGGAATGTATTAAAGATCTTTCTATACAGAATGTTAAATCATATATTTGTAAAAATAGATATTATCCTATTACATGCATGATGATTTTTAGTAATGTTTTACAAAATAGTAGTTAATCTTGATGGTATTATTTTGTTTTAAGAGAAATGCAATATATATATATGGATAAAACGTTGAAAAGAGGAAGGTAATTTGAATGCTCATATACCTAGTGGGCGTCTAAATGGTCGTGGGCGATAAAGAAGCAAATACAAGCAAATTTTTTAGATTTACGCTCAAATCTTTCCGATAGCAAAATTAAAATCGGAAAGGAAGAAAGAGGACATACTGAAGCAGAACACTGATAAAATCAAAACAATAGAACCTAAAATAGATTTAGGAAAAGGAATTGAATCAAAGCAAAGTGAGAATAATAAGTGTGAAACGATCTCCGTAAAGAGCAATATAGAACAAGTCATGGGATTGTATGAACAAAACCGTAGTATTACAGATATAGCTAGTCGTCTAAATATACCGGTGAGTTTAAGTAGGAATATTGTTTGAGGAACGTATTTATTTTGAAGTATTAACCTGGTAACCACAGTCAAATACAAACCTAATTAGTAATTTAATGTAATTTATCTATGATATAATGTATGTATTTAGAAATATATAAGTATGTTTATTAGCAGTCTGGTTACCATAGCATAGGGTCTGCCTAGTTTGGAATCATACGGCCGTGTGTGAGACGTGTGAAGTTATTATTATTAACTATACTATTACAACGACTTGCCAGCTAATTTTTTTTTCTAATTGACATAGAGAATGTTATGTAAGAACTCTTTTCCTAAAACTTTCTTTTCAAAAGGCTCTTTCTTCTTAATTTCTTTCACCTTAAGCAGGGTATCCAGGCAGTGGATTTTGTGTTTACAAAAAGACCCAAATTAATTCCCTTGGAGATCAAAATTCCAAACAGATCCCCTAAGGTATCAGTGTTATCTAAAGATCATTTTTACCGCTACTCGATTTATTAAAGCACTAATATTTACTGACCAATAATGAATTTTTATTTGCAGAAATAAAACTGTCCGTGTATGGATAAGAAGATGGCAAGGGAAAGGTACTATTGAGGCTCACGTACCAGGTGGCCGTTCACCAAAACTAACCGCAGATGTATAACCTATTTTGAAAGATTAGGTCCTCAAAGGATTGCCATTGCGATCGGCAACTCTTGCATCACTTCACGGTGTTTATATAACGACTATCCGGGGGTGTTTATGCAACAGCGGACGAAGTAAATGTTGAAAAATAGATACAAAGACAACATAAGTCTACAGGAGGGATTGAAAGATCTTTACCGTAATACAGTACCGTAAACAGAAATAGAAAGTAGCTGAGTGCAATAAAAAAATTGGCAATATTGTTGTCTGTCGTTTTAGTGTTTTAAGTGATTTTTTGTCAGTGCTATTCGCTTTTTGCTGAATGTGCAATTATGTCTATGAATAAATCTGTCTTTGTAGGTTATTATACGAGTATATATAAAATATATAAGAATGTTTACCCATATTCGAAAACACATAATCGTTCAAGTTAATTTCAATATCCTTTCACCTAGCTTGACAAATTCTAACATCTCTTACTGCCTTCAGTATATCTGTATACAAACAGATATACTGAAGGCAGTTAATAAATAAATATAAATAAATAAGCCATTTATTTCTTGCTTTTGCAAAGTTTTAGTACATTGTGAAAGTAGATATTATTAAGAAAACAAAATAAATTCATAAATGTATGTAATAATGTTTAGGTGGTTAATTTTTTTGTGATTCAAAAATTGTTGTAAGTAGGTTTTGTCAGCACGAACCCCTGATTGTGTAAAGGCCACCTCCAAAGATGCCCATGCATCTCTATCTTGTGCTACGTCTCTCCAGTTTGAGCCAGCTGTCCGTCTGAGGTCATCTTCCCATCTGGTTAGTGGTTCCTTCTCTTCTTCTCGCCGTTGGACCGCTCCACTATGTTACTCTCGTAGTCCATCTCTGGGCTGTACATCTCGCGACATGACCAGCCCACCTCCATGTTTGTTTTAGTGTATACGTTAGAGCGTCGCTCGCTTTGGTGGTTTTTCTTATCTTAGTATGTCTTATTTTGTCTATCTTCCTTATGTTGAGCATTTAAAGATTAAGGCAATCATATCAAGCAAATCATAAGGCAGTTAAAGATCGTATAAAAATATCCTTTAAATAAATACTACAGTAGTTTGTCTGTTAAAACCTGACAATGTATTCCATAAACACGACTGCCACGATAAATTATTTATTATAAATTGTATCAAATTGGGGGAACTACCTGGCACTTGCAGTGCAGATTATCTGATATCCTAAGTTTATTAAATTCTTAAAATCTGTGTTACGTTAAAACATAAAGTATTGTTTAAGTATATTCATGAGAATATGCAACATATTCTAGTGTATAGGACATGGAAAATACACCTTCATCGCTGTTGGTATTAAACGTACACATTTTACCAACTCTAATTTCTTGAATTACCTTCAAGCGAGAACTTTGGGTTAAAAATCTATACTAATATTATAAAGCTGAAGAGTTTGTTTGTTTGTTTGTTTGTTTGAACGCGCTAATCTCAGAAACTACTGGTCCGATTTGAAAAATTCTTTTAGTGTTAGAGAGCCCATTTATCGAGGAAGGCTATAGGCTATATATCATCACGCTAAGACCAATAGGAGCGGAGCACCAATGAAGAATGTTTCAAAAACGGAGAAAATTTATTACTATTGAGAGACGCAGACGAAGTTGCGCGGGTCAGCTAGTGGGAAAATAAAAAAACAATGCTGAAAGGGAGAAGGCTATAAGCAAGTAAAGGCAATGGAGGTGAAATGATATTTCTTATATACAGATAAATTAACGAATGTAAGCATTATTACTTTCATGCAGCACCACTAGAGTTACACCAAATACGGTCGCTTACCGAATAACAGGCCAGACCGAAGCCATGGTCATATTTATAGTCAAACAGTGTTTTTACAGCATTACAGTCTCAATTGCCTAAAATTTGCACCGAATTCTAAAAAAAAAAAGAAAATTTAAATATCATTTTATGAAAAAACTTTTTAGAGTTCACGGATCGATACAGTTTATGATTCAAACCCCCAACAGTTTAAATATATATTTGGGACTTTCATACACGTTCCGGGTTTTTTATCACCATTGTCAATAACAAATAGGTTACATAAGTAAAAGTTAATGTTAGTATTTTTGTTCCTTCATGTATTTACTACATGAAGGTATTTTTGTTCCTTCATTACTACATGAAGGAACAAGAATACTAACATTAACTTTTTGCATCAATTAATATTCTGAAACGTTGTATTTACTATGAATGCATATTATACGTTATAAGAAAAAGTGTTCAAATTAGAGTGCATAAGTCATAAATAAAGTATGTACTGCTCTTGGTGTCAATAAAATTACTGACCTACAAATGTGTTTTTAATTTTGCACTTTGAATTTCTGCGTCCATAATAAAATTGTTTTTTTGTTCTTGCGTGTTTTCGATAAATTAAATACCCATTTTCTACAAAACAATATTCCATTGCGTTATTTAATACAAAAACACAAGTCACATATTACACAAAACTACTACAACAACATATATTCACACATATTCACGCTGAACACCCGAATAAACTCTATAATAAATTCATAGGTATTCACCACCACAAATCAACTTGTTTTGACTTCTCTGTCAAATCGCCGTGTGTCTGTTTACCACACTTATTGCCTTGAAGATCAATTAAAAATAAAAGTGGTCTATATTGATATATGGTTTTCTGAACTCTATGTTCGCGTAATAATTTAACTCATACTTATTTGTGAAAATGCCACAGTTAAAAAACTACGCAAGTCATTTAACGTTTATTAAAGTAAAAACTTCTTTATCCCCGTTGAGCGATTTTAGGTATGTGGAAAACTAATGGATGGTATGACCCCGACATGCTCGTGACGAATTCATGACACTCAGACTATAATTGATTTCAAAATTCAAAAATGAACACAGTTATTCCATAGTTTTGAGTTTTCATTCTGTCGGCAGTCCTTAAGACTGTGTTATCTGAGAAATGGAAATTTTGAACCTGAATTTTGAAGATGTTTCAGGTTTAATTCAATCTACGCATCCCTTAAAACTGTTTCTAATAAAACCGTACTCATATTTCATTTATTTGACAGTTCACTATTAAATGAGATTTTTTTAATTAAACACACTCGTACTTATTGTTTATTTTATTTTATTTTAGATTCGGAATCCTATGAGGAATACAAAAGAAAAGAAGTGCCTGAGAAATATTCCAGACAAGATGGTAAGAAATCATACCTAAGAGAAGACGGAAAGGCGAGTGGAAGAAAAGAAGAGAAAGAAAATGATGGAAGAGATGATAAAGAAAAAAGATCTGAGAAGGTAAAAGATAGAAAAGATGAAAAGGAACGGGACAGAAAAGATGAGAAGGAAAGGGACAGAATAGATGAAAAAGAGAGAAGGGATGAAAGAGAACGAGATAAACGGTCACAGAAAGAGCTGGAAAGACGGCCAGACAAAGTTCGGGAAAGCAGAGATGAAAGACAAACAGAAAATAGGAACGAAAGAGAAAGGGGAAGAAAGGATCGACAAAGTGAGAATAATGATTCCCGAAGACGAAGAGACCAGGAATCTGCCAATGGCAAGAATAAAAACAGGCAGAAAAGAGATTCTTCTAGCAGTGAAGACAGGTCTAGTAGGAATAAGAAGACTAAAAAAAGGTATAGCAGTAGTGATTCTTTGAGTTCTCATTCAGAAGATGATAGAAAACAATGCAAACACAATAAGAATAAAAGTAGGAGAAGAAGTAGATCTAGATCAGGCTCATATACGAGAAGTCCTGCTCCAGAAGCTAAAAGAGAAATTGACAAGAAACGCAAAGGTAAAAAGAAGAAAAGGGACCGAGATCGCTCACCTAATTATAAGAAATATAGAAAGTAAGTAAATGTTGTAAAATAAGTATTTTAAATCCTTTTAATAAAATTATTTTTATGTCATGTATATTTTATTCACGACAATTCTAAAACAAATCAAGACAGGTAGATATGAATACTCAACTCCACCTGATCTTCGTGGAGGAGTGGAAGGAACGACTTGGGCAACCAAGCGCCGGGTTATTGTGGCAGTAACACCCATCATGTAGGATTGACTCGAGAGGCAGCACGGGACAGGAAGGAGATCACCGGGAAAGGAGGCTTCACCACGCTCCACCCCACACGCCAGCAGAATGTTCGGTGTCGGTTTAGCAGAGGCGTGACCTCGTAACGGCGATCGGCTTGAGTACTCTCTCGCTCGGTACCATGATTGCGGCCATGATACGGAGCGAGAGCGCGTGGAACTCAGTCGTCTCTTTCTGCGAGCAAGAGGCACTTATGGAGGACGAAGGTCCACTGAACGAAGAAGAAGCGCAGGCCGGAGGCTGACAGGTGAGGCCATCTGTCACCCTAGCAGAACAGGGCGTGGTGGTCGCGCAGGTATTATTTTTTAGGTTACACCTGGTTCCCTGGCTACTGCTACCCGAGACGGCGGTTTTAGTCGGTTCGAAACCGACATAACCTTCCCACCACCGATCGTCCGAGGAGGGTATCAGAGAGTTATTACATAGGAGGAGGAATGACAGGAGCATGAATATGTAGTTTTTAATTAACATCAAAAATTGTATTTTTTTCGGTTAGTAGGTAATCTGTAATCATGGTGAACTATCGTACTGCGTCAAGCTAAGCTTTTAAAATTCTATTCAAAATTAAAACAATACTGTTCCACGGAAGCCCACATTTTGGAAACGGATTGATTGATTAAATTATTATTTTTACAAATAGTCTAAAGAAAGTTTCATTTCTTGTATTTTATGTAGATTATTATTGACCCTATCCAGGACAGTTCCGATCAGTAGGTATATTTTTTCAATCGAACACCTAGTGGTACGTAGGTATCAAAAGCACGTTATTACTTATGACTTGTCTTATGAAAGAAATACCTCTTAGTAACACCTTTATTTTATAAGCAAAAAATTACTAAATGACAGGAATAGTGTAATAGTTGGAATAGGTTGAAAGTTGCGTTCCAAAGCTGGTCGGCGCTGCATATGGCGCATACCCAATTTGGTGGTCAATGGCACTGTACGGTGCACCAGTGTGGGCGGTGGCTCTGACCTTCTGGCCTTCGGCGCCCTCAGAGGATATTGGCAGTTAGAGCCATATGGGGTTACCGCACCGTTTCGACGGAGGCGGCGTGCGCATTGGCCGGAACATCCCCGTTTGATTTGGAGGCGGAAGTGCTCGCCGAGGTAAATAGGCGGACGGCTGAGTTCCGGGCGGATAGCGGCATTCGACCCCCGCCGGAAGAGATACGCGAGTCGCTTGAGGCCGCTCGCCGAGCCACGATGGCTCGTTGGTCGTCTCGGCAGGAGGCTCCTCGTGCTGGTTTTGCCACCGTGGAGGCGCACCAGCCAGGTCATCGTCGAGGGCGGCAGCACGAGACCCTTTCCTTCAGGCTGACGCAGGTCCTTTCCGGGCACGGCTGCTTCGTGAAATACTCGGTCGCTAGGAGGGAATTGAGTCCCGCCTGTCACCACTGCGATTGCAGTGAGGACTCGGCTCAGCACACGCTGGCAATTTGCCCGGCTTGGGCGCCGCAGCGCCGGGTCCTCATTGCAGTCGTCGGGGGGATCTCTTACCGGCCGTCATACGCTCCATGGCCGGTAGTGACAGATGTTTTACCGCCGAATGGGGAGTTTTCTAAATGAAATAAGTGAGAATTGATTATTTCCTTGTTCTGTGAGTAGATGTAAAAATAAGTAAAGTTAGATGGAATCACTTTTTTGATTGACCAACTTTACTTTTTTGACATCCACTCCCAGCATAATCAATTAATTAATTAACCAATCAATTCTCAATTGTTTTTGAAAACTATTAATTCGTGGTTGGAACTTAGCCGTAACACAAATTGCCATAGTTAGATCTAATCTTCACATTTTTGTCGAGTTTTGGGAATATGGTACAAATGTAGCTGCAAGGGGTCCACCGGAACCAGCTAAATTTCGAAAGTGGTCTATGAGAAAAAAGTCTGGGAATTTCTGCTCTAGAAGAAAAGGGCGCCGCGGGACCTGAAGAGGCTTAGAACTCTCTCGGTCCGCTTGGCCAGGGATCGGGCCAGGTACTGCAGGTGGCTCAGGCGCCGAAGGTCGCTAAATGACCTCCGGCCTGCATAAGTGACAACTGAGGCCAACTGTCACAAAAAAAAAGCCCTCATAATAAAAGCTGTTATCGGACCCCTCCTATTTCAGACGCAGTTTACATAATGCGTGGTTTTAGTCGGGTCGAATTCTATACACTGCCCCACTGCAAACCCTGGTGGGGTGACAGCCCATTCGGATTTCTACACGTAATAAAATAAAAAAAATGTCGTACAGAAATGCCTACTTCACATACACTTCACACATTTAGTAACGTCAACCTGTATTGATAAACATAGTATGGGCGATAGAGGAATGCGAGAGGCGCCGATGAGATGTTTGCCTAGGGCGCTCTAGATACTTAATTCGTCTCTGGTTAAGGGTACTAACCAAGTAAACCATAGATAATTGATAATAGCTCTAAGTAAACACCCTAAAGTATCGTAGGTTTCCTGATACTTAAGACTCCTTAATTTGCATTTCAAATAACAAAGTTTGTTTCCAATAAGGTAGTAGGTACCCTACGTGTACCTATAAATTTTCAAATATATATAAAGCTCGGGGCTTTTATTAAGTACACGATAATATCATCTTTGACCCGTCTTTATCCGGATCCCTGCAACCTCTTTTAAGGTTCAACCTTTGTCAACTTAAGTTCCAAGGTGGCAGCTACTTATAAATGGCATGAGTGCCTTCAAGATCAAACGAGGATGAATAACTTGAAGTTGTGTCATGAAATGTTTAAAAAGGTAGAAACTCTAGGCCAACTACTAAAATCCATATAATAAATCGTCGTTCAAAAACGACTTCCAGCAAAAAAAAGTAAACAGCTATGATGAAACAACAAAAACATTCCAAAGCAGTTGGCAAATGACTCAACCACTACCTCCAACAAGGGTAGTTCCCTGTACCAAGTTTAACCAACGCGTCAGCTGCCGCGCCGAAATGTAGTTATTTATTTTTTTAAATGTCGTAGCTTTACCTATACCCACAATAAGCATAACTATATACTAGCTATGCTTATTCTGCTAGCCTTTTTTTTGGCTAGACTATGGAATTCGTATTATACGTTGAAACACCCACATCAATTCAAGAAGAGTTTTCACGACTAAGGAGCAATTGACCTCACGACCTTCAGACGTGACAAGCGAATACTTTAACCTCTAATTAAACGAGAGATAAATATACTAAAAAGGTTTTTAGATATTTTTTTATGATCTTTCCTTTTCAGATTGTTTTGTTTACGTCTGAGATTTGGCTCAAATTCCTTGAACAGTACTAAATTTCAATAATACAAACAACAGTTGTTTATAAAATCACTTTATTTTAGAAGTTTTCTGTAGAAACACACTGGAAAAGGTTTACAGGCAGGATATCACATTGAACATTTATCTTTTAAACACTTATTCAATTAATTTGTGAACATTCAACTACAGAAACATACATACAGTGAAAATACTCCTATATTTCGTCTTTAAGGTGACATGTAAAAGACCATACTGAATACTGCATCCATTACCTTTTGACTTTCGAAAAGTAGATAAGTATTTTAGTATTCTCTTGATCTAGAAGTATATTAATTATAAAAAAATACTTTTTGCTTATACACTTAACATATTAAGCTGTAAAAATAATATTAATGCTGTAAAATATACATAGAATAATTAGAATATGAATATAATAAATTTCGTTTTCAAAAATTTGCGCTTGTATCTAATGTTCTTCAATCTTGTGCTATAAATTAAGCATGCATAATAAATTGTAGTAAAGTCAAAAAAGCTGCACATAATAGAAAATTCGTCCAAAATATATTTTAAGCATAGTAGAAAAAACATTTTTGTTAGGTACAGATAGAACCCTACTTACAAAATTCTTAATTTTTACATACCTATATATTAAAATATATATGTGATTATATTATACGTTTACTAAACATTTACAAACATTCCGGACAAAATGCGATAGTTAAAAATGATTTGTTGTAGGTACACATCCTTCATAATAGTATCTAGAATATTTGGTACTTTAGATAGAATATCCATAAATCCGTAGAAATTTATACATAAACACTTTATTCCGTACACATAATACTAGTAAAGTAATTACTTTTGTAACTTATAAAAATGCATTTTTGCTATTTTTTGTGAGTTTACGACATTCGTTTCGTGTGCGTGATTTTATTGCTTAGAACCATTAGAACCATACACCCCAGAAATCGATTACGAACAAATAATATTGTAATAGCCAAAAGTACCTTTGCTTGCCCAAATCAGATACTGTCAAATAACTTTCTACGTGACTTCCTAACGTATCCATAAAAATAGCTAAGATACCATGCTTATTTTTATAATTGGAATCGAGGGCTTTCATTTAATGACATATAGGAACATAGTTCTTATGTTGAGGTTAATTTAAGCGTTTTCAGAAAGAGGAAGTAAACTACTCAGAACAATTTTATAAGTCACAAGAGCCATTACAAATGCACCAAGTTAGAATACGTCTCCAGATTGCAATACAATAAACTACTTAAATACATCCTTACGTACTATAAGCGTAATCACACCGATCACATAACACCATGTAACATTTCAGGATCCCAGGAAGACTAAGGTGAAGAAATAAAGTCACTACTTACTAAGATAGTGGGATTATATCAAGTTGGTTATACTATCAGGGAAAGTATAGAACTGTAATGTACATATTTCGAGTACAAGATACCGTTGTACCTTTAATAGTTTGGGATTTTTATACACACGTAGTAACGTAA